TTGAATGGGACTCCCAGATTTTTTTTACATGGTAGTTTTTGTATGAAGAAAAAAAACGAAGCTTGTTCTATACACAAATCCGATGTTAAAAAAAAAAGAAAAGGAAAAAAAGTTCATCTAAGAAACTAGTTTTTCATTACCCTCTTACCCAAAGAAATTTGTCATTTGCAATCATAGTAATTTGCTCTACTTTTGTGAATACCATGTTTCCATAAATGTACATCGTCATGAATGTCAATATAACTGTAAGAGATTTTAACTATGGATACAAACAAGGAACAAGTTTTGTGGGGGAAAAAATGATTGAAAAGAAAGGGGTGGGGGGAGAAAAAGGACCGGACTCCATTTGGGAAATAATCTATTGAGTTGTAAACAGTTGAACCTGTATTGCACTTTTTCACAATTTTTGAAAAGTACATTTCTTACATATCTTGTGTTTTAAATATCAAAAGCTGTTTGTGTATCGTAGTGTCCTAGGTAAGCAGCAGGCAGCTGGTCTTGTTTTTTATGTTTATTTTTATTTTTTTGCTTCAGAGATGATATGAATTTGAGCAGCCGAGTTGTTTACGTCGCAGCTCATGATGAGGAATTCTGTTGTTGCTTGTTCATGTACAGAGCTTACTTTGCTTTCTGTAGGAAAAAAAAATCTGTGGCTTTTTAAAAAACGTTGAAAAAAAATGTTTGGAAAAAAAGATGTTTTTTTATTGGTGCTCCTATACATTGTGTATACAAACTATTATGAATACTAACAAAGTAAATGTTTCTGCTCGTCTTCTTTTCATCAAACATAATCAGGATGCCTGTCAGATGTTAATATGGCATTTATTGATCACTGAAGTGCACAGGTTGTTATCACTAATACACAATCCAAAATCTACAGTAGATACTGCACAGGTACCCTATAGTATAGTAAGCCCTGTGATTACTGGCAACATCAAGTAGAGCTGAAATGATTAATGAAATAGTCAATCAGCAGGAAAATTATAAACAATTTTCATAATTTTAGAAATTGTGAAAGTAACAAAAATGTTCTTCAGCTGGTTCAGCGTCTAATGTGAATATTTGCTGGTTTTCTCAGTCATCTAGGACATTAAAATGAATATCTTTGGGTATTTGTCAGACAAAACAAGCTAAATATTATTACTATTTTCTGTATTATAGATCAAACAATGAATTGATTGACTGAGAAAATATCGCCAGATTAATCAGTAATGAAAATAATCGTACATTAAGCCCTAAAATAAAGGACTGCTTCTTTAGGTTTTGTATCAAGCACTCAATTGGCTGAATGTAAAACAAAATTGCAGTTTGGAGCTTTTCATAGTAAAAGAATTAAAGCCTCTTTTGTATACGGATGTATTTCAGATAAAGATTGCATTGAATGACCCTTATTTGTACAATCACAAAATCTCAAAAGCCAGTATCAAAATTGTAGGTGGTCATTCCAGTCATCTCACGCCTTTTTTGTTCTTCTCTTTTTTTTAGATGACTCTCACATTAATTGACTAACCTCTTGCTAGGTTTATTTATAACATATGAAGGTGAGGTTTTTTCAACAAGTAAATGTTTGATCAGATTTCTAGCTTTGGTATCCTTGCATAGTCACACAAGAATTCCTTCTCTGTTCTGCTGATGTAGCTGAAAAGCGTGGTATGATATTACAACACGTTAAATAAACCATGACATTTTAAAACGCTGACATGCACAAACTTGGAGAAATGAGTTTAAGTAAACAAAAGTTCCTGGATGTGCTGCAAGGATCAACCATTTCGACATGTCGGTACACATAAAGACAATTCAGACAGGTCATCTTTCAGAATGCAGATAAATTTGGCATCCTGTTGTACCGTGTGAATGACAAAAGGCGCTTTAGTATTTTTATTGTTTATCTGCAACAGCTGGAAAAAAACCTCCAATTCAAAAGAGTCATTATCTTCTCTGCTGTCATGTGTGATTTTATATCAGCCGAAACATTAGTGTGTTGCTGTGCAAAATCATCTTAGGCTCCATGCCAAGATCATGAGATGGCTTCACCTCACTACACTGTGAAGTGTTGATAAAGTAAATATTAAATTTTTATCCACAGGTCACACAGTCTCACCACAAATTTAATTCTGCTGGTGCAGATCAATCCTGTTGCATTTTGGGTTTAACAACGGACATTAAATGTAAATCTGAATCCATGTTCAGCAGTTTGAGCCTCTCTTAAACACATGATGTTTAACTCTCCTTGATGATAAGTTATCATCAAAGAGACAAATAAACCAGATGAAATGTAAGCAAAGCTTTTCTAGATTCAGAGATGTTCATACAATTGTCACTTTAGGTAAGTTACAGAGAAACTGACTCTGTAAATGAAGGTAAAGTCAATGAATGGAAGACAATTTCTTCCATGTCATTAACATGTATTTTCTTTTAAAGCTTAGACCATTAAAAACACAGTTTTGATTTGTTCCTCATTCCTCAGTTTTAAATTTAAAGAACAGCAATCTCCACAGCCAAAATACTATAAAAGGCAAACAACAAAATGGTTTACATTTTCCCTCTGATTTGCTGCGTTTGAAAACGTGTTCATCAGAACAGTTTTTTGCCTCAACTAACAAACGTTTCAGAAGTGTTTCATAGGAACACAAACCTACCTGAGGCAGGCACCCACAAATGATGCAGACCTGCATTATCAAAATAAACAACAGACAATTCAGAGAATTGACACTTCGATCCTCATGTAGGTAAGTAGGTACAGCAGCAGAAGAAACAGACAATCCATCCATCCATCCATAGTCAACCGCTTTTCCTGTGTACAGTGTCGCGGGGGGGCTGGAGCCAATCCCAGCTGACATCGGGCGAAAGGCTGGGTACACCCTGGACAGGTCGCCAATCCATCACAGGGGAGAAACAGACCTGATAAAGGAAAAAAGAAAGATAAATATAACCACACCATAAATTATAAATTTAAAGCTATATATAAGTAGAAATAAGTAAGGGGGAGTAAACAATTAAAGAAATGCAATGAAACTAAATTATAAGCTACAGTATCTTTAATGTAGTAATTTTATTACCGCCAGAATAAAAAAGCTGCACAGACATTAAGGAAATGAAGTAAATAGATATATTAAAGAGTACACTGGCTTGTCCGTTTTAGATACCACAACACAATTTAATGTGATCCAATATGCATTAAATTCTGAAGTTCATAATGATCAATTTAGGAGTTTTTTCAGCTCTGTGGTAATTTGTGAGGCTCTTGATAGAGGCGGCGTAAGATGGACAGGTGTAATGCAATAACGATGGTTATTGATGATCAGTTCTCTGGCACAGGACTGCTGTAATAGATTGCATTAAATTGTATAATACATACAGCCTGGTAATAAGACTTGAAGTTCCATTTTGTTTCACATCATTATAATCACTCTATCTCACTCTATCATCTCTATTTGAGAGATGTGCAACCAGGCTATTATACACAGAGGTGGAATAACATAGTCAAATCCTTTACAAGGAATTATCGGGGGGGGATTTCTACTTTAAGCAGTATAAGTACTATAATGCATAAATATGGCCTCTGTGAGTCTTCTATTTTATCTCATATTGGCAGAATTTGAATGTTGTAGCTACAATATGGTCATTATAGGTTCCAGTGCTTATGGCAGTCAAAGAAATATAGTGGAATAAAGACAGGGCCAAATGTTCCCATATTGTGCTTTGGTGGAGCGTATTACCAACATTATAGTCAGACTTCTTTCACTTCATTCATTGATGTGAATCATTGAGAAAAATCTAAGATGTGGGTGGTGATTCAGAGAGGAACCAGGCTAACATACTAACATAAAAATAAACTTAGGCTTCCACAAACAGTGAACCTGGGCCCCCGCTGCCAAGTTCAATTTAGCTTTGAGAAAAAAGCACAATATTTTAATAAAAATGTATTGGGGAATAAATTAGCATAACATTTGAATAATCATGCAAGTATTTTTTTTATTATTAACAAACCTGCATTTATGGTACTGAGGCCACGAGTCCAATAATAATAAGTATAATAATAAACTTTATTTATACACTTTTCAAAACAAAAGTTACAACATTGTTGAACCTGGATTACAATATTTTATTAAAAATAATTCAAAACTAAACTCGCATAAAGTACCCAACAATAATACAAGATAATAATAATAATAATAATAATATAACGCTTTTTGGAAATGAGACCGTTTGCTTACCATTACCATTTACCAATAACTCCTTTTTTCAAAAAGCACACTCATTTCCCTAAACTCTACACACAAATCCTTTCGTTTCTTAATGCCTACATCATGTGGTCATTTAGAAAGCACTAACATTCAATATTGTTCACTCAAGTCAGTACAGCTTAAGCTCAATTAGCACACAGCGGAAACACAAAGAGGCATAACTGATAAAACACCAATCAAAACCTTTAATAAGGCCCGAGTCAGTTCATTCAGTTTTGGAACAAATAATAATCCAGAGAGATGTGAAGGAAAAGGTAGAGAACACCAGCGAGGAGGAAGAGGACAGACCAAAAACTGGATGCTGGGGCAGAATAATTTGTTGTTTGGTGTTTTGTACTGTATAGTCTGTTGTTGTGTTCATCATGTGAAAAGGTTTTTGAGGGGGAGAACCACAAGCAACATTCCTTATAACCATTTTTTTTTAGTATTGTTTTGAATTTATCTCACCAGCGTGTAAGTAGTGTGTGTTTTTGAGGGCTGGTGTGTCAAAGCTAAGGGCAACGTTTGGTTTTTCAGCAGAAATAGTTCTGAGTGGAGAGCTTCATTTTGACCTGAAAATAAGATGTTTGGGGAATTGTGTGAGAAGTTTTGGATTTGTGTTTAGAGTTTCGAGAAAAAGAGGCATAATTTCAAGAAATGTGTTGAAGCAACCGAGGAAAAACTGTAAGTCGTCTTTTTTTTTCATGGCGCTTGGTGTCGCTGCAGCCGTTTGCTTTCACCTTCGTCGCTCCGCCAACTTCCGCCTACGTCAGACCCTCTCACAACACGGAATATGGCGGCCAGCTCGGATCGGAATCCCCCTCCTTTCCCTGCAACAGAGGATCCTGGAGCCGGACTAGCTGACATGGCAGACGGAGACAGCGACGAGGGAGAGGACATCTTCGTCAGTAACGTATGTTTACAGCTCATTGTTATTAATTACAACCTGTGCGTGTACATATATATATATATATATATATATATATAACGTTAAGTGAACGAGCCAGTAGGTCAGCCTCTAGCTGATCTGACCTGCATTCATGGCATCCAAACTAACGGTGAAACACTGACAGAGAGGGGAGGAATGTCGGAAGATTTTGTATAAAATACACTAAATTGTTTTATAATCATAGCCGAAGTTAGTTTTCAATTTTGACTCATATCTAGCTAGTAAAATTCTACATGTCTTTTGGCTGTTTCGGCCTGTCATGGTGTTTTAATTTAAAGATGCCCCAGTTTTAGGACACCGAAGTTAGCTTCCGATTCGGCAGTTCATCAGGTCCAGATCATAAACCACTATGCCTACAGCTGTCAGATCTGGACTATATTGTCCCAGAGATGCTAAGGATTCTTTAAAACACAGTTTTCACAGTTATTTGTGAAAATGAAGAAAAGGGCCACATAACCCATCGCAACCATCGCATTTTGACAAATAAAATAAAGGTTTCACAAATCTGGAACTGTGTTTTAAAGAATCTTCAGCCTCTCTGGGACAATCTAATCCAGATTTGACAGCTCTAGATTTCTGAATTTGAGTTTCCCTTAACTCCCCCCTGCTGAATCAAAAGCAAACTTCCGCGTTTCCCATGAAGGACTCATGTTTACAACCGTTATTTCGTTAAGATTTTAAGTGAGGTTTTAATGATATCCAGCTCACAGGACTCCACCCAGCCGCCGCCTTCTTCTTCTTCTTCTACTTATCTGTGTCTGTAAAAACGTTATAGCGGTTTGAGATAACACAAGTAACTGTTCCTCTACCGGCACCCCTTCTGTTTGTGTATCAACTCAGCGTTTCTCATTAAAAACTATCATCCTATCTGTCTGCAGAGTAACAACCCTGTGGCTGTGAGCCGAGGAGTTTCTCAGCCGGACCATGTCAATGAGATGCCGCCAGATCTGTTCAGTGAGGAGGAGGCCAACAACACAACTGCCAGATCTAATGGAGTTCACTCTGATGATGACAACGACCTGTTTGCTGGTTCGGAGACATTTTCTACTTACAATTTCTGTACATTTTATCCCATTTAGTTGTAATTTTCCTGTTCGGTACAGGATTCATAGTCTGGTGACACGGCTTGTTTTAAGCGTAGGGTCATGTCAGACAATACTAATGCAGTTGCATTAGGGAAAGTGTAGGTTTTTGGAGCTTTGCCCCATACTTTGTACTAAATGGCAGAGTATCCCATCCATCCATCCATCCATCCATCCATCCATCATCAACCGCTTATCCTGCGCACAGGGTCGCGGGGGGGCTGGAGCCAATCTCAGCTGACATCGGGCGCAGGGTACACCCTGGACAGGTCGCCAGTCCATCGCAGGGCCACACATAGACAAACAACCACTCATGCTCACACTCACACCTAAGGACAATTTAGGGTCGCCAATTAACCTAGTCTACATGTCTTTGGATGGTGGGAGGAAGCCGGAGCACCTGGAGAGAACCCACGCAGACACGGGGAGAACATGCAAACTCCACACAGAAAGGCCGGGGAAACCGGGGTTTAAACCCACGACCTTCTTGCTGTGAGGCGACAGTGCTACCCACTGCATCACCATGCCGCCCGTCAGAGTATCCCTGCTGCATTAATTTTTTTTTTCCTTTTAAAAAGTCTTACTGTGCAATACTAAAGCTCTCAGTACTCCTTGAAGACAACATTACACACTGAAACATTTGGCACGTTTGACATTTCTTTTTAAATGAAGGTAGCAGATTTAAAAAAAAAAAAGGCTGTCTTTGTATCTAAACTCAAGTATTACAAAACACAAACTTATAAATACAAACTTCTCAAAGATATCTAGTGAAGACCTGCACCAACTCACCGCCCTATTTCCACATTCCTGTCAGGGTTAATATAAGTAGCTGCCAAAAAACTTAAAATCTAAAGCTGAAGTATTATTACACCCTCTAAAGACACTGACAAACCACTAACACAGAAATCTCTCACACACTAACTAATCCTTAAAGAAGATGAAAAAAGGTTTCTCAGGTCAGACCAGGCAGCGCAGCAGTCCAGTGGATAACACTGTGGCCTCACAGCAAGAGGGTCCTAGGTTCGACCCACGGTTTGTACTAAATAAGTTCTGAGGTTTGATACTAGCTTAAGTTATTACCAAGCCTGAAATCTTGTTGTCATCTGGTCAACAGCCAATGGGAGTTTAAAAGGGATAAAACAGAGAATTATCAGACAGAGTCACATTAACAAAGTCCTGCTCAGTTTTACAGGGGATTAAAAAAATTAAGTTTTGTGAAATGGCATTGTGCATAGATTTATCTCTTTGTAGACTCATACACATCATTTATCAATGATAATGTAGCAATGTTGTCAGAATACGTTAGTGTTAACTGTAGCTTTTCTACAGTGAAGTAATAGCTGCCAAAGCACCAGTGCACTGTTCTGGACAAATCAAGTGTGAAGCTATTGTTTGACAGTGTGTGTAGTGTGTGTGATCCTGTCTGATGTACACTTCAGTCGTCTGATTTTCTTTTCTTTTTAGATGAAGAGAGGCAAACATTAATCAAAAGTATTTTCTTCCCCTAGAGGCACACGTGGAGCTGAGCACAGACAAGCCTGGCTCTGCTCGGAAGGAGCTTTCCACCTCCTCTGGCACTCATCCAGCCTCCTCGATCACTCAGAGCCCTGCTGCCATGCAGCCCACCTCCCTGGAGCAGGTACAGGCCACGGCTGAGCTGAGCTGCCTAGGAACTTGGAAACAATTACTTGCATTCATGCTTTTGCAGTGCCTACTCTGTAGTGCCAAGTAATCTGTGTGTGACAGACAAATGTTCAGAGTTGTGTTCTTCTCATTAATTACAGTTGGAGGACGAAGAGGCCAAGGATAGTTTTGATGTGGATGTTGCTGTCACCAACCCTGAGAAAGTTGGTCAGTGTCTATTTTTTCTCTCCATAATGTTCAGCCATAAACTGTGATACAGCTATCTGGAATTTCCAGTTCATTCAGGTGTTGCTATTTGCAAAGCAGTTTGATAATTACACCATTGAATAAGTAACTTTCATGGTTATAGCTTCTTTAAATGCCCTGACACATTAATTTCAGACTACAGTCTAATTAATTCTCATCTTCAATGTATCTCCAATGTTTCTGTCCTCCTAGGAGACGGCATGAATGCATATGTGACCTACAAAGTATCCACCAGGGTCTGTTGTCAAGCTTGTGTTGACGCATATATTATTGTGTATTTTAACTTGCCTCCTAAAACTGCTACTATGTCTAAATCTTCACTATTGTTAGTTAGTATTTGGCTTTTCATGTTCTGTGCCTTTCTAGTGTATTGTCCCTGTCTCTACTTTCAGACTTCCTTGCCCATGTTCAAGAGTAAAGCCTTCTATGCGAGGAGGCGTTACAGTGACTTTCTGGGTCTTTATGAAAAGTTGTCGGTCAAGCAGTCCCTCCATGGCTGCATAATTCCACCACCACCTGAGAAAAGTGTTGTAGGTGGGTGCCCAGCTCTTCTTTTTTTTCAGTGTATGTGTTTTGTGCTTTGTCTTTTTTTTTTTTTCCTTTGTGACATTCATTTGGACCAACAGGAATGACCAAAGTGAAGGTGGGAATGGACGACCCGTCATCAGTAGAGTTTGTGGAGAGAAGAAGAGCAGCTCTGGAGAGGCAAGGATCAGTACATGTTTTAAACAGGGACATTATACATGAGATGATAATTAATATTCATACTGGGCCAAGTGCAGATATAAATATGTTCTCTCTGAGGCCTTTTTAACCATTTTTCTACCGCTGTTCCAATGTTTTTTGTGTGCAAGTTTAAGTTTTACTTCTTGCTCATCTCGCTGCCAATATGTTTTTTGCAGGTATCTTCAGAGAATAGTGTCTCACCCATTGTTACTACAAGATCCTGACGTCCGTGAGTTCTTAGAGAGAGAAGATGTGGGTATTTTAAAATACTAAAAGATTTTTCTAGTAGCAATAAGATGGATGGATAAAACATCCCCACATTGAAAAGGAATGCTCAGTTGATTGATCTAAATTACTGAACTTTAGATTCTTGATTCCTGACAATGACAAAGTAACTCAACTGCTAACTTTTGAGCTGTGTGTGTGCGTGTGCGTGTGTGTTTTCAGCTACCCAGAGCAGTGAGCACCCAGACGCTGAGTGGAGCTGGCTTCCTCAAAATGATCAATAAGGCATCAGATGCTGTCAACAAGATGACCATCAAAATGAATGAGTCTGACACTGTACGGGAACTATGGATGAAATCTGTGACTTTTGCATGTGGAGAAATCCAATGTTGGATAAACCCTGAAAGATGAGTGGCATATAGACAAAAGGAAAATATATTATTTTAATAATTAAGACCTGATAACATAATGCACAATTGTACTATACTGTATAGTATTCCATATTTTTTATCTATCTTTATTAAACTATTCATGTTTTTAGAATTCATATAGACAGTTGCATAGAATGATAACTTCATATCATTACTGAATATGATTCTTTTAAATGACTGTAAACAGAAATATTGGTAAATAAAAAAGGACATTTCATAGTTTGAACTGAAATTTATAATATTGGTTGTTGATTGTCAATTGATTGTGGAATACTGCCTTACATACAATAGTAGCAAGACAAACAGGCCTTCCATTCTAGATGTGATGAGGTTGTTTGGTTTTGTTTTTTTCATGATGTTGTCCTCTTTCTGCTTTGTGTCTCAGTGGTTTGAGGACAAGTTCCAGGAGGTGGAGAGCGAGGAGCAGCAGTTGAGGAAGCTTCATGCCTTGGTCGACTCCCTGGTCAATCACAGGAAGGGTGAGAGCTGCATCTGCCTTTCTTGACTTTTCTTTGTCTGCCCAATTTTTATTATCAAATTGTTTCACCTGAGGAAACAGAAGAGCACAGTCAAGCTGCCATTTCTTTTAGGGTGAGACTCAATAAATTTTCTATTTCCTCTTTCAAAACCAGAGCTGTGTGGGAACACGGCAATATTTGCCAAAAGTATGGCCATGTTGGGAAACTCTGAGGATAACACCGCCCTGTCTCGGGCGCTGTCCCAGCTGGCAGAGGTGGAGGACAAGATGGAGCAACTGCATCAGGAGCAGGCAGCCAGTGACTTCTTCATCTTTGAAGAGCTGCTGGCCGACTACATCCGCCTGCTGGGTGCCATGCGGGTAAGCTCAAAGCTGTAGAATTATAGATATACATTAATGAGAAATAAAGATAAGTAAAGTAAGTCTTTGAAATGTAAAGCTTATGTAATTCTTGATACCAGGACTAAAATAAAGGAAAAAACATCCTTGTTTTAAGCCACTGTTATCTAGCAAAATGAAATCACTTAAATTGATTTATATGTGTTGGACAGCTAAAGGTAGTAAAAGAAAGGGGGTAGGATCACCTGTACAGAAGTATCTGCACATTAGTGTCAGACACTTTTTAATACATGAGATGACACTCATGTCTGCAAGTTTGCCGTATTTTCAATAGTGCAGGATGTGCAACTCTCTCTGAACCCTGCATTTTGTCAGAGGAAAATTACTATAAATATCTCTACCAATATACATCTCTTGCCCTTTCTCTCTTTCTTTCTTGCTTGCTCGCTCGCTCGCTCACTCATTCATTCATTCACTCACTCACTCACTCACTCACCCACCCCAAACCGGTCGAGGCAGATGGCCGCCCACCCTGAGCCATGGTTCTGCTCGATGTTTCTGCCTCTTAGAAGGAAGTTTTTCCTTGCCTCTGTTGCTTAGTCCTTGCTCTTGGTGGGAATTTTTGAGTTTCTGTAAATAACATCACAGAGTATGGTCTAGACCTGCTCTTTTATGAAAAGCGCTATGAGATAACTGTTGTTGGGATTTGGCGCTACATAAATAAAATAGAACTTAATGGAATTGAGGACCATAAAGGCGCTTTCTAATAACCTTTAACCTGCTAGCTTACAGTTTTCCTCAAAGTGTGCCACCTGATCTCCGTTTGGTAATTGGAATGATCTAGAGTTGTGTTACTATTGTCATCTAATCTAAAATGGATGTCCACAGGGGTGTTTTGACCAGCGCATGCGGGCATGGCAGCGATGGCAGGAGGCTCAGAGCACACTCCAGAAGAAGAGAGAGTCAGAGGCCAAGCTGCTATGGGCCAACAAGCCGGACAAACTGCAGCAGGCCAAAGAAGAGATCACTGAGGTAACAGTCACAGTGACCGCACAGCCACTGAACCAAGCCTGAAAGATCTTTACATTAACACAGTCAGGATGGTGACCATATTAGTTTGAAGTTAGAGTGAACCAGGCAGCAAAAAACGTGTGTTCGTCATGTGGTTCTGGAGGGACTATGAGACCCTTTTTCTACCACCCAGCTGACTCATAGTTGTAGCCCACTCTCTTCGAAAGGGAGAACGTTTATTCTTCCCATGTTTAGTTGTTGCAAAGGACAAAATTATCAGCTTCTTGACAAAGGAGATCCTTTTCTATATTTTGTTATACATCGTTTTGTTTAGGATTTGAAGCCAAATCTTCAGTGTCAAGAATAGAGCCTGCAATTTTGGTAACTGATTAATTATTTAAGGGCAAAAAGTTGGTGCAGTGGTTAGCACTGCTGCCTCACAGCAAGAAGGTCCAGGCTTTGAACCTTGGTTGTCCCAGGCGTTTCTGTGCGGAGTTTGCATGTTCTCTCTAGGTGCTCTGGCTTCCTCCCACAGTTCAAAGACACGCGTAGGTTAATTGGCGACTATAAATTGCACGTAGGTCTGAATGTGTGTGAATGTGAACGGTTGTTTGTCTACGTGTCAGCCCTGTGATGAACTGGCCACTTGTCCAGGTGTGTAAGTGGCTGAAGATGATGGATGGATTAATTGTTTATCAAGTGAAAATGCATTTCTTTGTTTTGCTAGTTCACACTTCTGCTCTATCATGTTTGATATGATTTTACTTATGATAAATTGGATATCTTTGGGTCTGACGTACAAGCTATTTAAAGAAGTCACCTTGGGCTTTTTGATGGTAATTTTTTACTTTTTTCTGACATTTTATAGACCAAACGATCAATCGATTAATTGAAAAAAACCCTGCCTATACAACTGCAAAAAACCTGTTGGATATGAATCTAGTTTCTTTATGCTGGACTCGAACAATGTAGAAGCACCATCTTGGATGGTGCTTCTACATTGTGCAACAGTGCACTGATGTACCTGTTTCTTAGTACTTTGGCTAGTACAAATAAAAGTGTTTCTCATTTCTTTATAGAGGTTTGTCAGATGTATTACTGTGCTATCAGATAAGGACATTCCGTGTAACAGGTTTCTGCAGTTTGATGTGTATTTATTTTTTTAGTTAACATGCTGGAAAATATCAAGATATTAATACTTTGTTTAACATCTCCTCCTCATGTCTGTTCTCAGTGGGAGGCGAGGGTTACTCAGTACGAGAGAGACTTTGACCGGATTGGCGTGACTGTACGCAAGGAGGTTCTCAGGTTTGAGGTATGTTTATGTTTTATAATTGCTAAAAATAATGTTTTCATGTTTTATTGTCTTACTACAACTTTGGATCAAAGTGGATTTAATGTGACTTTTTTCGACACTGATCAACAGAGGAAGAACTTTGCAACGTTAAAGTTAAAAATTCATACTTTATTTTTGCCGGCGCTGTGCATTTGACATTCTAGCATTTAGTAGTATAAAGAACAACTTAATTGTGAGACCAACGCGTTTCAGCCTATGGCCTTCATCAGGGTCATCATTAAGCACTTTTAAAAGACCAGTAGGATGAGCATTACAGAAAGTTACAAAATATAAAATATGGTTGTTCTTAAAGTTGTTCTTATATTACAAGCCGTGCGATAGTTTTAACAGTTTTTTGACAGTAGTTTTCTTCAGACTATTTCCTTTCTCCATGTATGTTGGAAGCCGGAGAAGTTCTGAAAGAGATTCCTACAACTGCCTTTTCCATTGGCAAAGAACTTGAGATGTGACAACATTTTTGTCTTTCAGAAAGAAAAAGCCAAGGATTTCAAGAGCCAGATAATCAAATATTTGGAGGCAATGCAGCAGTCTCAACAACGGGTAAACATTTAGCTAAATATCACATTCAATATGATTTTATTATGCAAAATAACAACACATTTTAACTTTCTTTTAATTCTTCTTGACCTAATTGTATTCCAGCTTATAAAGTTTTGGGAGGCGTTCCTGCCTGAAGCAAAGGCAATAGCTTAATGAAGAGGGAGACTTTTTAAAGACCCCAACTGCCTTTTTTGAACACTTTACCTCTTGACCAGGAACTGAGAGGACAATTTCGAATCACACAAGAAACTTCCATCCATTTCTTCTTTTTTTTTTTGTCTTTTTAATCATAGTATTCTTGTACAGTTATTTGATACAATAAGCTGCCGCATTTACACAACATTTCTTTGGCATAATTCCTTGTTTATGTTCTTGACTTAAAGAGATCCAACAGAGATTAACCTGACTGTCAGTGAGATATATATTTTTTTGTTTCTTGCTTAAACCCAGTATATTAAAGTGTTAACGCAGAGGTACTGCCTAGAGTAACATTATCTATAGTTTACATTAGAAGATAGACGTATGTAAGTCATTCCAGTCTCCAACAATTTATGTTGACGGATGCATGTCACTAAAATGCATTGTACAGTTGGAAATGCTGTTTTTTAATGAGAAACCACTATTGATGACTGAGGTAATTTACTACGAGTATTAGCACATTGTTACATCACAATGCATCATAAAGGTTATATTAAAACTCAGATTTGACAAGGTTAAATGCTTGTCAGAGTTGTTTATGAGATGATAACAGAAACATAAAATTACAGTGAGTACAAGTTGAGAAAATGCAATCATTACTTTGTTGGTATTTCTACGATGATGTATTTGCTAGAATCATGTTTATTATATTAATCAGTTTCTTCCACAACTCATTTGGAACTGCTGCAGAGATTGTTACTGCCCATGTAAATGACTGTTGACTTGTATGAACACATTTACAGTACTTGAATTGAATTGAACATCTTGTCTGTTACCAGACGTCTTTTGATAAATTGGTTGAACAATGACAGGAAGGCACAGACATTCAAGTGATACGGTCTCTTATTTTCTTATTCAGCATTTGTAGTTGTGTAGTTTTTCTGTCATGTCCTATTTACGTAAGAATGTGCTTTATTTTTGTAACCACTTTGCATTAGCACACACATTTTCCTGGAAATGCTATACAGGTAGATGTACAAAATAAATATGATTGGTTAGGATTTGACTCTGTTTTTATATTGGTTTTTTTGTTGATGTTAATTTGCTATTTCAGTTCAGAAGCATGAGTAAGTTGTGAACAAAAAGGCTTCTTTGTTTGAAAATATAAAAGGCCCTCTTGTGATTTTAATCATTTTGTGTCTTTTTCAGGAACATTTTGAAGGTTAACCGTGACTTTAAAGAGCTGCTGTTGGTTAGAAACTGTGCCTGAACATCAATATTTTGTTCATGCTGTAGATAAGCTAATCCACATATCATACTCAGACTTTCAGACACTGTGCACAATAACATAGGTCTCATGACACAGGGAATCTTTCCCTAAAGCAGAGCTATTCTGGGGTCAAACATTTAAATAAAATGCAAATCTGACATCCTCTGTGCATCCTTGCACTGGAAGAGACTCAAAACTAGAAAATTCAGCTGTGGACCATCTTAAAATGGATTGAGATTTATTTAGAAAATTTTCTGCAAGCTCATTTTTTATTTTATATTAACTCTCAAGCACAACTGAAGTCCTTAAAATACTTAATACAGAAAGGTTACTAAATGGACTGCAAGGTTTTATTAACTGGTGTTTCCAAGATCAACAATGAACTTGAAGCTCAATATTTAAATAGCTTTATTTATTTTGATGTAGTCTCACAGTAGCTGAAGTGTTGGCAGAATATTAAGGATCAGGAGATCAGGACATTTCTTCTTTTGACCGAGTTGTTGGACTTTCCAACAAGATGTAAATAACTAAGGTTGCTACTAATGATTATTTTCATTATCAATTAATCAGACAATTATTTTCTTAATTTATCATTTGGTCATTAAAATGCAATATATTTCCTAATGCTCATTGTCCTACAAATAAGCTTCAAAGGTAACTTAAACTATCAACCAGTTATCACAATAGCTGCATATTGTTTTTCTGTATAGATTTGACTAACCGATTAATAGTTTCAGTTTTCACCTTCCCTTTGCCACAAACTGCATGCTGGCACACTAACAAATATATTTATTTTGTTTACCAAAAAGACAAACTGATGTACATTATGTTATCCTGCATTGTGATGTTAATTATGTTTGACTTCCACTCCGTGTTAGACTTCTTATAAACAATGACAGAAATCCAAATATTTGGGCATTTATTGATGCAGCACATTTGAATATTCGTTTTTATGTAATGTTGTACAGCTGGGGGTCTCTGAAAATGACTTCTGAAACATAGCATCAGTTTAAAATCATGTTTAGAAACAAAAGTCATGATGTATCAAAGTGATAAAACAATATTTTTTGAGCAGTTTAGAAGAGGTCCTGGTGTCTGAAAGACCACAAACACACCTCAGAGGTTAAAGGCCTGACACACATTAAATCGGGGTTTTGAGATACAGACTGATGTGTAACGTTTGAGTAGTTAAACATAATAGCATGTGTTTAACAGTTCAGTAGCTGAATCAGTCTGACCTGGAAGTGTGCGTGGTGAAGCGGGCGGTGCCGTGTTTCTACATCCGGTGTGTTCGAACCTTTCACGAGCAGCGAAGACAGACGAACAGCGAAGAATGGAGAGAGCAGAAATCGCCAGTCCGCTGTTAGCGTGAAACATCAGTAACAACAAGTCAACGCCGAAAACCTCACATTAAGCTCGCAGCCATTCGTGTACATTTGGCGTGACAAACACACAAACCGCGTCCTGGTCGTCTGGATTTATCACAGCGAAGGTGAGTCTGTTATGTTTGTTTGCGATGAGCTAGCAAACCAACATTTGATAGTAGGCTTTTGGCTGTTAGCTTAATATTTTAGTTGCTAACGGAGCTAATTTCCTTGTTGCGCTCGGTCCAGCTGTCACCTAGCCATCAGTAGGTGTTAGCTAAGGCTTTAATACCAAGCAATGAGTCTCGTTGCTTTTTCTGTTGTCTGTTAACTAACGTTAACACAATGTAATGATTAACAAGAAAATGTCTGTGTCGCGATTTTTCGCACAGCCACTGTGGCTAAATAATGTTTGGCTAACGTTAGCTTTGTGGCTGGTTAGTCACGTTTTATGTTGGCAAGCTGGGAAGCTAACTTGGCTAACGGTTAGTTGGCTTGCTAATCGATGTGACCATCACTAATGTTAGACTGCCCAACGCCTGGCTTTGTCCATGAAACATTGGCGCACGACTGCCAGCTCGCTTCCTTGTTTTGATTCAACCGGAGGCCTGCTTAAAGGATCGATCATCTTTGTATTAGCCTGAGCTGTCTCTACCCAAACACTTCCTCACATATAAAGTATTGTCACTGCTGCTCAGTGCAACATACGGGATGCACAGACAAGCACGTACCTTCAAATCAGCTAATTTGACCATGGCCTTCCTCAGCCTGGTGACTGTGGGCAGTTGTAATGAAGCACTTAGCGAGCTTTTGCAAGTTTGATTTTTGCCAGGTGCAGATGTTAGGAGTAAACGTCAAGTTAAATAGTACGTCCCTGTGTAGGTGCAATGGTACAGTCTATGGTACGTGGTCAAATACACATGTAATATGGTATATCTCAGTGTTCATTTCCCTTACTCAACTGCACACATGACCTAACTGAATCAATATGTATGGCTCTATTCAATTACCCTCCATCTAGTAAAGTAATTGATTATTCCAGTTTTCATAAAATAACACAGTGGCATGTTTTTTAAGAGAGCAGAGCAAACCAGCTGTGAAGTTGATATTTTATGGAAATATATGTTGTTAGTTGGACATTTGCTCAAACAAGGGCTGTGTGGATCAATGATAAATTATTGTTGGTATCCTTTTAAAAGAGTCCCTCTGAAGGAAAGGCTGGTTTGAAATCGTTTCTGTGTTGCATTCATTCAGAAGGTCATAATGAAGTAGAGCATGTCACTAAATGCAAGACTGAGCAAAAACTCACTGTTTACAGGCCTCAATCTAGGAAAATACATATTTAAGCGAAGCTTTGCGGAAACACATTTGCATTTCATTCATGCATATTTAGAAACTTTGTTTCATTGCAGATTTTGCAAAGCTGTGGTCAATGGCTTGTCCCGCACCATATGTGCAATTAATAACCTCATAATGTAGCCTGTCTCTGTAAAGTTTAAGTGAGATATAAGTTGATTAGTAAGATATATTTCTGCTGATCATGCAATATTTGGAAGATTTTTAGATCAAACCCTGTGATGGAAAAAGATGGATGCACACAATAGATATATATGCATGCATGCGTTGGTCTCTATAAATTGATGGAGGATGAAAATTAGGATAATTTTAGATAGGGATCTCAATTCCCTTCAGGTCTAGTTCATAAGATGTGGCTTTAAGGAAAGAGGCAGCTGCTAGCTGGCACTGCCACAGCAGGAGTCTGCACTATTGGCAGCCCCCCTCTCGAGCTGATCTTTCCACTGAAGGTTAATCACTCCACCAAGAGCCTTTATGTTTCTGTAAAAATGATTATATGTCAACACATTAGTCATTTTTAATAGATGCTAATCAGCCATAAGCATCTCAATAGGGATGAAATGTGCCAAAAAATATTAATATGTACTGATGCACACACTGAAACCATTTAAACAAGTTTTATATTAAACTACAAATACAATTGCCATTTTGGTTGCATATAAAATAACAGCAAATACCTTTTGTAAAAAAATGAAAATCATCAGTGTGCATTATCAAGACTTTATATTATATTGGTAATGTAATTGTCCACGGGATCATTGTATGAAAACAAATAACTTTTAGAAGACAGTGATCGTAACTGCTGTCTGTAGCCTTTCTAGATATGCTGGTTGGTTGACTAAACTGCGTAATGTGTTATCACGTGTAGGGCTGGGGTGATTCGTCGACGTAATCGTTTAAGTAAATACGTCGACGCGCATTACGTGCGTCGACGCGTCGCTGCATCCGGTATGGGATTATCCCGGACAAGCTCCAGCTACAAGACCGCACCTTTGACCGTCTAAGTTTGGAGTATTTCAGACAGACACTCAACAACGTGCTGCTCCGTGAGCTCTGTGAATTAGAAACGGCTTCACTGCAGCACAACTGCTGTCCACGAATACCTGAAGCAGCATGAACACGTGAAACGAAAGTATCCCGGAGCACTTTGTCTAGACGGCAGCACCGCAAATCGTGTTTACTTTCTGTCACCACACGAGCACGGCACATTATAAGCACGAGGACACATAGTATTTCTTAATTGCCTTCATGTTAAAAGCAATTTCTGCCCCGCTGCTGTCATGGTAACTTAACGTTACACCGCGAGTCATGTAATGATCGTCAGTTTCATATTTTCTGTTTTATTTAATGGCCACGTATGAGCAAGAAAACAGCTGAATCTAATTAGACAATCTGTGACTGTCTGTACAGTCTGTGAGTTCTTTCAGGTGTTCACTGATGCAGTACATTACATACATTTTATTATCATACTGCATTACTTAATACTGAAATGAATCCATGGCAGAAACATTTAAAGTTTTACGGAAAGTAGCCTAATTAATGTCTGTTATTGTTGTTATCACAACACGTCAGTGATGTGGAAATTTGATTCATTTTAAGATTTGCTGCTATTTTCATTATTCTAATGTGCCTCATCAGGATGATTGAATAAAATATACATTTATTGATTAGACATGTGTTTGATATTTACTTTGGACAAATTGGTATGTTAATCGAGTAATAGGCAACTTTTCTTTCTTTAGAATAAACATAATTAGTCGTTAGATTAATCGACTTATCAAAAAAATAATCGTTAAATTAATCGGCTTGAAAAATAATCCATGTACAGCCCTAATCATGTGCAGTGGACGAATAGACTCTGCCGACACATGACGCACACAGCAGCAAAACAACGTGTAGCGTTTTTACAAGAGCAGCAACACAGTCAGCTTCAGTTTACACACTGTTAGCAAGTCAGAGAGACAAACCAAAGCTAAAAGTTGAATCACCCTGCGTTCACTACAAGGTAATTTTCTTCAATCAAGTTTCCCTCAGTACTCTCATAAAAACTAAAATACGACCAGACTTCAGAGTGAAA